AAAGCTTTGATTACTAACTAGTCTTTATAGAGACGACTATTTACAAGGTATAAAACTTTCATATTATTCCAAAAATACATTTCCCAAACTAGATTAAGCTTCCAAAAGTCCCAAGCATTGCATCATCCTATGAACTTACCTGCTAGCCATATAATAACCAAGAATGTTGCTAGCACAATCACTTGAACCAGTTCCTGAGATGCACGTCGACAAACAAAACAAATCAGGCTACATGCCTGGTGAATTCAAGAGTTTTCACAATACAAAATTTCAAGTAATTTATACTATCAAACAAAAATGCATAACTTACATATGCTTGATGTGATGTGTCAATTAAATGTTAAGTTCAACCAAATCATTATAAGHAAGSAGYCWATCAATATTTACAAAGTTCTATGAATACCACACAGTATGGGGGTGACCCATAACAACCGGAATCAGTGGAGGAGCACTACTCAGCAGTCCACTTATCCATTAGGCTAATTTCGGTATAATCACCATTGCGCAATGTGTCCACCTGACACTATACCTATTAGCCGAGTACCTGGCGCATATATATCCATGCACGGTACTCCAATACATTACCAATAGGAGCAACCCATTTACTGTAAAGGGAGTGATCCCAATACAAACGCAACAAAGGGGGTGACCCTAAGTCGCCAGATCCGGATCTACCATTCTCATTTCAGTGAGTAAATATATAAATCACAATGCATTCTTAATATGTATAAATTCACTTTGTATAAACACCAATACCTTCATTTCATAACATCATTTAAAATCATGCATTTTCTACTTTAATCATTAAAATACATCAAACAAAATAAATTATGTAAAGATAATTACGTGTGACGTGCACCTCATTAAAATGTACTTGAAACTCACCTTAGCCTATTTAGTTGAGATCCCGCCGGTGCCCAACTTGTTTATCGACCGTGCTACCTAAACAATCCACACGCACGGTTCTCACATCAATACAAACATCCTAACAAAAGATTTAGACAACTTACTTATCTTAATATACATACCGGCAAGAACCACTAAAAAAAATGGACTTTGAACCTTCTCATACATGGGTTTAAAAGAAGCAAAACTCTTATTTGAGTCTAAAATGGACAACTGCAAAAACCAATGATCCTCAATATGAATTTGAAACAAGTGATGAATCCGATTCAATAGAAACACCCATTAACTCAAGATTAGGGTTAGGATGGGCTATTTAAAGTCGAGAAATTTGGGACCGTTTTCCGAAGAAGCGAATTACAGTCCGAACCCTTTGGTTCTTGAGATATAAACTTAATCTTAATAGACAAACAAATAATCATATATCTATGCAATACACACCGGCGGGAGTCGGTGAAAGAGATGATACTCTGCTGAATTTACCTCGAAAACATAATCCGTTTGATTGATTTCTCGGTTGTTAATTCCAAGAATGAAATTGGGAGCAGAGAGATTGAAAATAAAAAAAAATGGAATGAAACCTCCAAGAAAGAGGATGAGTTAATAGTGGCAGTGTGGTGGTCTGGCATCAATATAAATGATGGCAGTCTTGTTTATAGAAACAAGATACTTTCTGGGCATGCCAAAAGAATCTACCACCTCTCCTTTGAATAAAATAATCCACTTAAAATAGTAATTAAATCAAAACCCTTGTTTATAATAATTCTAAATTAAGGGATGGACATTATAACCCCCTAGATTAATACTATAAAACAATTGTACTTCAAACTTTTAAACAACTAAATATTTATCTAACCTTTTAGAATGGGATGTTACAGAATCACCCATAAATCTTCCAACAAGTACTTCTGGAAATAGAGGTCGGGGACGACCAAGGGGAAGAGGCAGAGGGAGAAGCCAGACACAGGGAAGGGGTCGGGCTAAAACACATTCTGAGCATGAAGAATCCCATTCTGGAAATGTTCAGGAGGGATCAGTGCCACACCCAGAATACATAACCAGAGATATGTTGGCTGAGAAAATGGGGAAGTTAAGGGAAACCTTGACGTCTATTATGGGAATATTGGCAAGGGTGGAAACGAAAAGAGTGGAAGTACATCCCTCTATTCCGGTTGTTCATAACAAGGAAGGAGACATCAAAATGTTCCTGACTTGTAAACCGCCAACCTTCTCTGGGGAGAGAGATCCAGTGAAGGTTATGTGCTGGATTAAAGAAATCGAATCTGTGTTTAATATCATTCAATGTCCAGAAGCAGATAAAGTTCGATTCACTGTATTAGTATTGAAGTCCAATGCTCTGTTTTGGTGGGAAGTGGAGTCTTTAGCTAGGACAGATGTTTTACAAACACTATCTTGGGAGGAATTTGTGAACCGATTCAAAGATCAGTTTTGTCCCAAGACAGCGATAAGACAAATGGAGGAAGATTTCCTGAAATTAGAACAAGGTAACGGAACGGTTCGAGAGTATATTGAGAAGTTTATTGAATATTCTCGGTTTGCTGAACTACATTCGTTAGAATCTAGGAAAGTGGAGAGGTATATTTGGGGGTTATAACCTTCAATCTGTGAATTTGTAATTGCTATGAACCCCAATACCTTTTCACTAATTGTGGATGCAACGAAAGTGACAACGGAATAAGAATCGGCAAACAGAGGGTAAGAATGTTGAGAAAATAAGATGGGAAGGGACTTCATCTAACTTTTGATGGCCAAAAGCAGTGAAATATGATAATAGGACTGAACAGAAGGTCGGTGAGAAAGTCTGTACATAATGCCGATAGGTTCATCAAGGGGACTGTAAGATGGATCCAAGAAAATGTTATAAATGTGGCGAGGCAGGTCATTTGTCAAGAAGCTGCCCAGCCAATAGAAGATGCTTTAATTGTAATTCCCCAGATCATATTCGGCCTAACTGTCCATTGTTGAGAACTCCACAGTTGACTATGGGGAATAATGTATCGGGTGCTCGGGGAAGACCTACAATATCCAGAGGAGGGCAAGGAGGGGCACGGGGACGGTTCTTCCAGATGACAAAGAATGAGGCAGAGGCTGGGCCAGATGTAGTAACAAGTACCTTTCTTCTGAATTCTATACATGCTAAAATCTTGTTTGATTCCGGTGCAAACTTTTCGTTTATATCACCATCGTTTGCTCAAATTTCATGTTTGAAATATGTGTTACTTGATGACAAATTAGTAGTTGATACTGCTAATAGTCAGGAATCTATTACTAGTGTATTTAATAACTGTGTTATTGTCATTGAGAGGTGTGAGCTACCAATTTGGTTGTTCCCAATGTCGATGAAAGAATTTGATGTAATAGTGGGTATGGATTGGTTGGCAAAGCATCAGGCCAGTATTCTCTGTAATAAGAAAATGATCAGAATCATTTTTCCAGTCAGGGGGACAGTTGTTATTTATGGTGATCATTAGAATCATCGTACTAGCCTTTTGTCTATATTAAATGCCCGAAAGTGTATCCGGAAGAAGTGTCAGGGATGTTTGGCATATGTTATTGCTGCGAAGAAAGAGAAAGGAAAGCAAGAATTGATTCCAATTGTTAATGAATACTCAGAAGTCTTTCCAGAAGATTTTTCTGGTTTGCCACCAGATAGGGTTATCGAGTTCAGAATTGATCTTTTACCTGGGGCATCACCAGTAGTCAAGGCGCCGTATCGGTTGGCTCCTTCAAAATTGAAAGAACTGGTTACTCAGTAAAAGGATCTACATGAAAAAGGATTCATTCGACCCAACACTTCACCCTGGGGTGCTCCGGTCCTATTTGTTAAGAAGAAAGATGGATCTATACGATGTGTATAGATTATCGGGAATTGAACAAGTTGACAATCAAGATTAAGTATCCTTTTCCAAGGATTGATGATTTGTTTGATCAACTGGTGGGGGCAAGTTATTTCTCAAAGACTGACTTAAGATCAGGGTATCATCAGCTTAAGGTCAAGGAGGAAGACATCGCTACAACAGCTTTTTAAACTAGGTATGGGCATCTCGAATTTTTAGTTATGTTGTTTGGCTTAACTAATGCGCCCGCAACCTTTATGGATTTAATGAATAGGGTATGTAAGAAATATCTTGATAAATTCGTTATTGTATTTATTGATGATATTCTTATATACTTTAAGACCGAAGAGGGGCACGTAGAACATCTTCGCCTGATACTGGAACTTCTGAAAAGAGAAAAGTTGTACGCAAAGCTGTCCAAGTGTGAATTATGGTTAAGGGAAGTTCAGTTCTTGGGTCATATCATATCAGAAGTAGGGGTGAAGGTAGATCCAACAAAAATAGAAGCAGTTGAAAAGTGGGAGATCCCAAAGACTCCTTCTGAAATCCGAAGCTTTTTGGGATTGGCAGGCTATTATCATAAATTCATTCAGGACTTTTCTAAAATAGTTGTGCCATTGACCAAATTGACTTGGAAGAACGTTAAATTTCAATGGGAGGAAGAACAACAAAAAGCCTTCCAACTGTTGAAAGATCATCTTTGCAGTGCCTCGGTGTTGACCTTGCCAGATGGACCAGAAGATTTTGTAGTATATAGCAATGCTTCGAAACTAGGATTGGGATGTGTTCTGATGCAAAAAAAAAGGTGATTTCTTATGCGTCAATGCAATTGAAGGATCATGAGAAGCAGTATCCAACTCATGATATGGAATTGGCAGCAGTAGTGTTTGCTTTAAAAATTTAGAGGTATTATCTTCTGGAAACAAAGTGCCAGATTTATACTGATCATAAAAGTCTACAACATCTATTCATCTAGAAAGAACTAAATATACGACAGCGTCAGTGGATTGAGCTTGTTAATGATTATGATTGTGAAATCCTCTACCACCCAGGGAAAGCCAATGTGGTAGCTGACGCTTTGAGTAGAAAAGAAAAGAGTGAGACTATTAAAATCGTGGCGATGAGAATAAATATAGTTCCTGATACTCATAAAGAAATTTTCAGATGTCAGAAATTAGCCATGAAAGAAGATCTTATCAAGTCAGAAAGGTTGGGTAAGATGATTTCGATGTTGGAACCGAATAATGAAGGAATTATGTGCTTTCAAGGGCGAATATGGATACCGTATTTTGGGGATATCTAGAAAGTTATTTTGAATGAAAGCCATAAGTCCCATTACTCTATTCATCCAGGTACCAATAAGATGTATAGGGATTTAAAACCTTTTTATTGGTGGCCCAAATTGAAGAAAGATATAGCCAAATATGTGGAACAGGTTAAGATTGAGCATCGGAAGCCATATGGAAGTCTTCAATCTTTGGAGATTCCTGTATGGAAGTGGGATCACATTACAATGGATTTTGTCATGAAATTACCTCAAACTCCAAAAGGGTATGACGCAATCTGGGTAATTGTTGATCGTTTATCTAAATTTGCGCATTTTCTACCTATAAAAGAGGGATACTCTTTAGAAAAGTTGGCACAGATTTATATCAAGGAAATTGTAATCAGGCACAGTGTTCCACTATCTATTATCTCTAACCGAGATAGTCGCTTCATCTCAAGGTTTTGGGGAAGTTTACATAAAGCTCTGGGTCTGAAATCCGATTAAGTACAGCCTATCATCCGCAAACTGACGGGCAAAGTCAAAGAACCATCCAGACTCTCGAACACATGTTGAGAAGTTGTATTATTGACTTCAGGGGATCATGGGAAGATCATTTGCCACTAATAGAGTTTGTTTATAATAATAGTTACCATTCCAGCATCCAAGCGGCACCATATGAAGTATTGTATGGACGTAAATATCGAACGCTGTTGTGTTGGAACGAAGTAGGAGAAAGGCAGTTGATGGGTCCGTAGATTGTTCAAGAAACTTCAGAAAATATTGAATAGATTTGTGAAAGAGTCAAGACAGCACAAGACCGCCAGAAAAGCTATGCCGATAATCGTCGAAAGCTGATTGAGTTTTGTGTGGGTGATCTTGTAATGTTGAAAGTTTCTCCATGGAAAGGTGTTATCAGATTCGGAAAGAAAGGTAAGCTCAGTCCGAGGTATGTTGGGCCGTTCAGAATATGTAAACGAATTGGGCCAGTGGCATATCAGTTAGAGCTACTAGAAGAGATTAGTCTGCTCCACAACACTTTTCATGTGTCCAACTTACGAAAGTGTTTAGTTGATCTGAATTTAGCTGTACCACTTCCAGAAGTTAAACTAGACAGTAAGCTGAACTTTGTAGAGACACCAGAAGCTATGATTGACCAAAAGATCAGGGTGTTGAGAAACAAAGAGATCAAACTGGTTAAAGTACAGTGGTAGTATCATAAGGGGTCAGAGACAACTTGGGAATTAGAATCGAGAATGAGAACAAAATATCCGTGGCTCTTTGATTAAAGGAATTCCGGGACGGAATTCTTTTGAGGGGTGGATAATGTGATAATCGGGTCTTGGTTATCACCCGAGGTAACTAATACGTGATTATTTGTTATGTGTTTATATGACAACATAATAAATTGATATACTTGATCATGCGAGTATGGGTATTTTTATGCATAAATGTGAGTATGCATGGTTATTTATATGCATGATTATGCATGTATGTATGTGATTGTATGCAGTTGTAGGTATGTGTATGCATATGAAGGCTGCTTTAGCCGCCATACTCTTTTTAGAAAGAGTATATAAAGAGTGAGAGGTTACCCTTTATTTTATTTTTGGCTATTTTGAGATTTGAGAGTGAATTGACTAAGAAGCTGTCTGGATTATTTTTTATTGGGGTCAAGAAGTAGATTTAAAGTTGGTTGCATTTTGCTAAAAATCAAAGGTGAGTGGTTAAATGTTTTTAAATCTCCTTGAATTGTATAACTGATTGTGTTATAAACATATCACCCGGTTTAGATTTAAATCGGACAAGTGTTTGTCCGGATACACGTAAACCGGACAAGGGTTTGACCGGATTGGGTATAAATCGGACATAGTATCATCCGATTTGGAGGAAATCAATCATAGTATTGATCGGATTAATATGTTGAGAAAATTCTATCTTTGTAAATCGGATAAAAGGTTTTAAATGGAGAAGTAGGAATACGATCAAGGGATATCCGGTTTAGTATAAATCGCTCAATGGATGTTCGGATTAGATATAATCCGCTTGACATGTTGTCCGATTTATTCATAAACCGGACAAGGCTTTGAGAGATACTATGTAATCCGTTTGAATGAAGATTGGATTTGAAAAAGTGTAGAAAAATGTGGATATGTAAACCGGACAAAGCTTGTTCGGGTTTGTTGTTGTCCGGACATGTAAATCGGACAAGAAGACTTGTAATGTCCGGATTTGTAAATCGGACAAGAAGAATTGAGTTGCCCGGATATGAAAATCGGACAAGAGAACATATCGTCCGGATTGTTATATCAGACAAGTCTTAACTGACCAAAGCTTGTTAAGCTTACCGGTTTTGCATTTTTGATTAAAATGTTAAGTTCAAAATAAATTACTATCATTCTTTTGATTATGATAAAGAATGAGAAATTTTGATAAAGATGGTTTTGAACTGATGATGTTTCATTAGGACATTTCGACTGCGGTCTGTTCTAA